AGGGGTCGAAGAAACTCCAACCATGTTGAAATGGAGGTTTGAAGATGCCAGTGATCATGGCTTCTCGAAAGAAGAAGAAGATCAATTTGATAGACACTGGAAATTACAATTAGAAGTTACTTGCAATAACGAGAACCCATTAGTCGAAGTCGATTATAGGGCAATCCCGATTTAGTTCTACCTGTCGATAATATTGTGCCCACGATGCCACGATGTATGTAATTTGCTTTGTATTTGCATCCTTGATGCGTTTCTGAGTTACGAATTATGAGTTATGTTTATGTTTTATGTTTAGCTTATGTTTATGAATGAATGAAATTAAATTATTAATTTATTTTGTCTCGTCACCGTACCGTATAATATCTAGTAGCTGTTTATTGCGATTGTCGAATAGCTCTAACATGTGTAGACTACTCGTCTGTCCTAGTTTATTGGTGAATTTCTCTAATCCTTTCAAATTGGATTCCACTGTCTCGATCCGTATGACCTTACTATTATGGGAGTTTGTATCATTAATTTCAACGTGTGAAATTTGAGTAGCTTCATCGTCTTGCAAATTATACTGTTTAGTTTCCTTTATTTTATTGTCTTCCACTTCAAGAATTATCACCTTCTTTATATTTTCATCCAGCTGTATTAGTTCTTCCACGATATGTTCATTATTGTACTTGGTATCTTTCAAATCATCCTTAAATAGATATTTCACTACCGGCTTCTCTGTGTGAGGTTGAATCAATTGGGTGTCCCTGATACTGCTATCTAAGCTATCGGGCACATCGTTGGTAATTCTGTATTTGATGGACTCTGATACGTTTGATTTATCTACTATGTCAACAATATATGGCTTCATTGGAGTAATTTTATTAAAATCTAAGACTTACTAAATATTTACAGCGATTTTGTCCCCAGTTGATATTTCGCATTAGGACCTAGCTAAACTATCATAGGCCGGGCTAACATTTACATAATCATTTAAATACACCGACAAGTTATCAGTTATAAACTCGAGTATATCCTTACTCTGTTTGACCAACACACCGATACTGACGGAATCCATAGTAGTTTGGGCAATTAATCCCGGTAATGCTACAAAGAGCCTTAACAAGTGTTCGACTCCATATAATTCAGACGGCCGTAAGTCGTCTCCATGCTCCTTGAGGAGATTCATGTATTGTAGTCTTTCGAACTTGTAGAGCAAAATCAAGCTTAGAGACTTGTTGAAGTACAATTCTAACCCCTGCATTATCTCATTTATAACGTCCATAGTTTGGTGGCTGGTATCCTGGTCCTTCTTGGATTGTAAATAGTCGTTAAGTATAACTGTCACCGGTCGCGAGCTAGGAATATTTATTATCTTTCTTTCCTTGGTGATAAATTCCCAGTCGTCTACCAAGATATACTTCAACTCGGGCTTCATAAAAATAGAAACTTCGTTGACACGATTGGGGTCTGTCTTCTTTTTCTTAGTGACTGTGGAAGCACTAGAAACAGGCATGCCTCTCTTCTTATTACCCGTAGACGTCGCTGAGGGCTCTGCCTTAACCTTGGGTTTAATCTTTGCCTTCGTAAGTTGGTCTTTTAATTCTTTTTGTGCCTGGACGTTGGCCTCATTGTATTCCAATATTCTATCCGGTCCAACCCATTCATCCCACTTGGCCTTCCATCCTTTGTAATGTACAAAATACGCGTTCACGCTGTAGTATTCTTCTGGTAAGTTGCTTCCTTCAATAGGTTGGTGCTTTCCTTCTCCATCTTCAATAAACGTCTTATTTTTTTCATGAATTTTTATCACCTTAGCTTCGTAAATTAGCGGTCCATGATAAGCTAGCACCCGTGCATTTGGCTTAAACACTGCAGCATCGTCTCCTGACATATCCTATCCCTTGAAACTCACTATATTATTACCTAAAATGTCTAAATTCCACTAGTGTTTTCATAGTAGCATATTTTGCCCTGCACGTAAATAGTCCGTCAAAAATTTTGTCAAGCGGGAAAATTGCTCTAACGACGACAGATACCATAGACAATAACAGTTTCTATAACCAATAAAAGAGGTATCGGGCATCAAGAGGAAAGGAATAATAATTTTTAGAGATTGAGGAATTTATTAAAGTCAACGTAGAATTTATTTACATAAAATTTACCCATTAAATTTGCAAAGTTAAATATCGACTAACCTGACCATTTTGAACGTTAATATTAATGGCACAAGCAAACTCTTCAATTATAGTGGGAGTTCACTATAAGGTTGGAAAGAAGATAGGAGAAGGGTCATTTGGGATAATTTTTGAAGGAATTAATCTATTAAACAATCAACAAGTTGCAATTAAGTTTGAACCTAGGAAATGTGAAGCACCACAACTCAGGGATGAATATAGATCATACAGAATATTGAACGGAAGCATAGGTATACCTCAGGCGTACTTTTTCGGACAAGAAGGTGTACACAATATATTGGTGATTGATTTATTGGGACCTTCGTTAGAAGATTTGTTTGACTGGTGTGGCCGCAAGTTCTCGTTCAAGACAGTAATCCAGGTAGCCAAGCAAATGATCGGCCGCGTACAATCCATTCATGAAAACAATTTGATTTATAGAGATATCAAGCCCGATAATTTCTTGATTGGCAAGCCAGGTACATTGCAGGCGAACCAGGTATATGTGGTTGATTTTGGAATGGCGAAGCAATTCAGAGACCCGAAGTCCAAGACTCATATTCCATACAGAGAAAAAAAGGCATTGAGTGGAACAGCGCGTTATATGTCTATAAACACTCATCTTGGGAGGGAACAACTGAGACGAGACGATTTAGAGAGTTTAGGGCATGTATTTCTCTACTTTTTGAAGGGTGCTTTACCATGGCAAGGCTTGAAGGCACCAACAAACAAACAAAAGTACGAAAAGATCGGCCAGAAAAAGCAAAATACGTCGGTAAATGAGTTATGCTATGGCTTGCCAATTCAGTTTGCGCAGTATTTGAGTTACGTTAGAGGATTAAAATTCGACGAAACTCCCGATTATAATTATTTAATATCATTAATGGAGAAGGCACTTATATCGATTGACGCTGCTGACGATGGTCACTATGATTGGATGGACTTGAATAACGGAAGAGGCTGGGATGCTGCATTAAATAAAAAGGCCAACTTACATGGTTATGGTAACCCACACCCACCGCAGAATTCATCACAGAATGCTCAATTGTACAATAAGCATAGAAAGTCAACCAATACTCCNCCCCAGAAATCTCAACGTACAAGCCGTAATATACAACCGCAAGGCAGGAACCCTCGTTCGAAGTCATTAACGTACGGCAACTATAATTCAATAACTCAGGATAGAAATGGCCAACCAGGCACTAGAAACGAATATCAGGACGGTATGATACCGGTAAGAGATGATGGAGACTTACATTCAGACACATCCAGTTTTAATGAAAGAAGACAAAAGGAAAAAGGTTGGCTCCGAAAATTGTGCTGCTGTTTCTAAGCCTAATCACTATCATTTAGACATCATGACAATATATGTTCTTTTCTCTCTTCTAAAACCTTAGTTTCTGGTTATCCATAAGGCTGTTAACCTTTTTATCATGATTTTTTCAATTCGTCTGTCCTTAATTCATTCTTGTCAATTTAAAAGTATTATTGCTTTATCTCCAATATTAGAGATCATTAATTTATCTACTACCACTTACTGCTTTATTCATAGTTCTGTATTATAGTTCTGCATTATAGTGTATTAATCTTCTGTATTATTATAATGATAATTTGTAGATTTTAATGCGGCAATATTCATTGCATAAATTGAAAGAAATTTACGAATCACCCCAGAAGATTCTACAAAAGGTCTACCGTAGACCAGAAGTCCATCGGAATACACTTCCTAATCACTACCCAGAAACAGTTTCCATTGATTTTATTGTTTAACTATATAGACTAAATAAACCACAATTTATAAATCATAATTCGTAATTCTGCATTCCGTAAGAGTAAACCGATTTCATTCCAGATTGCATTCTCCCACATTAAAAGAACACAATGACCCCTTTATGGTCGGATAGTTAGGTGTCCAGGCTCTCCAGCACATCTGATGCATTACTATTCATTCTGGATCTAGGCATCGCCATGCCACCCTCTGACCCAACCGAAGCATCACTATTCATTCTTTCCTTATTCATATTCGTGTCATCAATCTTGTCCATTGTATTATCAAAGCTCTTTGAGGTAGGCATCCAATACTTGTTGTTAGTACCATTTTCATGGAAACTGTAGAATCTACCTGTGTTCACTTGCGACGACCCTTGGTAGTGGTGTGTCGTTTTACCGCCATTAAGTTTGGTTCCTATTCTGTTAAATAAATTGTCAAATAAGTCTGGCATTGTATTAGTATATTATATTATTGATTCAAACTGATGTAATTAATTATCCAATGGCTTATTTTTCATTTGAAATCACCCTTATATATAAATGTTATCTACATTCTCCTCAGAGTCATCATTAATTGCCATGAATTATGCCTGCTAACAACCAAAACTGACTATGCGGAGTTCCCCTTAATAATCCTTTATAAGGGGCTTACTAAGTGTGTCTTACCGTTATTAATAAGAAAGCCTGATAGTATTTAGTATGGCGTGAGGGAAAATGTGGAGTAGATATGGTTATGGACGCACCGCGATTTTCCTAGGAGATTGCTCTCCTATGTAAAGCAGCTTTTGGTACACTTAGTACCACAGATAAGGAATCTAAAATATGTAACCAGTAGTATATTATTGAAAAGGTAGAATGTAAACAAAGAGTTCATTAAAAAATAAGGTTCCAGGATAAGGAACGTAAAGTAAACAAAAAAAGGTACAAAAGATCAATAAGTAGAACAAAAATGATAATAGATTAAACCTAAACGCAATAAATTAAATAACAGCAAACACAAGCCTAAACGTAATCATAGGACCAATATAAATTCGTGATGTTGGAGTCATAGTGAGAAAATTCACGGGAGTGTGACTATTCTTGACCAAAACCAACCGTTTCTTCAACGGCCAAGGATAATTTTTGCTTCAAGCTCTCGTAATTTGTGTAAGGAGGTAAGTCGACTCTGTTGAAACAAGTGTGTGACTTTGGTAATTGGTTGGACTCACCAGCCTTTTCAATTGTGAATCTTCTAGGACCATCGGACCCTTGCAAGTCCTTGAACCCGTTAACAGGGATTCTGGAAGTACCAGTGGTGAATTGCAATAATCTTGCTTTTTGTTCGGAGTCCCATTCCTTGATACATCTCCAGAACCATTGGATGACTTGGTCATTTTCTTGGTACCCTCTATAGTCGGTGTGCTTCTTCCAGTCTTCGATATCGATTTCTGCCAAACCACCAATTAACAATTCTAATTCTCTTTCGTCAAACACGTTAACCAATTCTTGTGGGATCAATTCATTGAATCCGTCTATGAATGCTTTAAATTGCTCTTCAACTCTCTTGCTGATCTTCCACTCAGAAATCAATTCAACGTATTCATGCTTATTTTCTTCTGTAACTTCTATCTGGGTTCCGCCTGGTTTTAAGTCAACTTCAACAATTTCACCGAATCTTTCATCTTCAGCACTGAATGTTAATTCCAAGATATCAGTGATATCGTTATCACAAATCCATTTTAATGATCTATAAAATTCAGCATCAACACCTTCCATATCTTGCAACACTACCTTCTTACGTAACATCATCTTATATAAAGCTCCAACAAAGAAAGCATCTAAAAACCTTCTATGGAAAACACCCAAACCAACAACTCTTCCAATAAATTTAAAGTAGTTTAAGTGCTCTGGGTTAATACCAGAGTTTGGATTAATTTGTAATGTGTAATTGTCGTGAGATGAGTATTCGAACAAACAGTAGAAAGGATTGAACATATCATGCGATAACAAGAAGAAGAATTCTCTAGAAACACCACCATAATCTAAACCTTCTTCACCATCGAATTTAATCATTAATCTCTTCTTTAAGTCTTCTGGGGTTTGTCTCATTATCTCTTGATAAGAATCTTCGAAAATATGATCTCTTCTGACCTTGATATGACACTGCCCTGGTAAAATTCTCAAAGCAGGTTGAGATCTGAAATAGATAACCTTTCTTCTGAAATCACGCTTGTACTGTGGGACATTTTGGTCTAACGATGATGGTAACCTTGGATCATCCCAAGTTGTAGTTTTTGTATTATGATCAACAAAATACACTCTTGCTGTATTTGTTAATCTCATTTCCCACCCAGACGGCAATGGTCCCAATTGACTGACTGGTTGCTGTTGAATAGTAGTATTAGGACCAAAAGTACGGATGTATTGTTGTCTTCTTGGATCAACCCAGGTTGTGGTTCTTGTATTGTGATCAACGAAATATGGTCTACCTTCATTAGTGAATCTTTGTTCCCAACCTGATGGTAATTCACCTAAGCCATTGGTAGTGGCACCAGAGGCAGCCATAGACATAGCAGCAGCAGGACTTACTGGAGTGTTTGCTCCAGTTGAGTTAACAGTGACATTACCACTGGCAGAATTATCAGCAGAATTAGCTAAAAATGGTGATTGAGGTGTTTCTCCTGGCAATGTACGGCCACGATGTTGTCTTCTTTCAGCTTCTGTTGTATCTTGTCTCTGTTGACCTCTTTCAGATTCAGATTGCTCCAAAGTAGGTCTCTGCCACGTAGTAGTTCTAGAATTATGATCCACGTAATACGTACGACCAAAGTTATCTGTCCTACGTTCCCAGCCAGGTGGTAATCTACCGTATTGGTCCTCAAACGATGAATACTGCTTGTTTGTTGGTGTCTGATTGTTAATTTGAGGTGGTGGAAGCCCACTTGGCGCTCCACTGGCATTCCCATTACTCATCGCAGGAGGCGCATTAGTAACCGCACCACTTGATACTGGTCTGGACGAAGTACTGTTATTCGTAGGTCTAGTATTATGAGAGATAACGACTATTATCTTTCCACTTACAGCTAAATTTTCATTTGACTTTTTCAAATCTCTCGTGATCGTTTCTTCTGAGTTAGGTAACGATAAATCAATGACATCGCCAATTCTAACATTCACAACCCCTAAGAATCCTTGATCCTTCTTCTTGAATTTCTTCTGATCAAACACCTGAATGACCAATATCGAATCCTCTAATGCGTTGAACGTAAATGACTCATTCCAGTATGGATTAAGGGTCTTTTTGGCAGTTTTTGTAGTCTTGGTTTGCGATCCATCCACCGTGATAACCGCAAACGGATCCGGCTGACGAAAAACATCTCTCTTATAAAGCGATTCCGAAGCTACCACTTTGACACTCACTGGCGTAGTTCTAGTCATACTTGTTTCAATCTTTCCTACTTTACTTCAGAATTTTTCACCAGATGCAATTTTGAATCTATCGTATGGATTTCTCTTGAGAGATACTTCAATACCCACAATCAGATAAAAACTTGGAATATCACTTAATTTATCTATTTATGCAAAGATTTAACCTTCCAACGAATTTTGTATTAGATTGGTCTCCTATTGTACGAACGTATTTTATCTATCGGATAGCCGAAAAATACCGTAATCCAATTCCAAATTTAACAAAATAAATCTAATCTATTACCACTATCAATAGGATCAATAGATATATCTATATATATGTATCTTATACGATTATTTGTTATTCACGTTACGATATATGATAAAGCAAGTGAATATATATGATTACATATTCAACAAACAACTAAAAATTACACATCAAATTTTACCCCCACGTGACTATACTATAGTATATGATGAAACCGTTATATTTAACTACTATAAACACTATAATAATTGGTAGCATTGGTCTTGAGTGAAAGCATCCTATCGAATGATCTGTCGACCAAGGACTCGTCAAATTTGTAGTCATTCAAGCCAAGACCAAAGTCAAAATCAGTCTTGAAGTTGAAAATATCGCTCGGGTCTCTCTTGTGTGATATTGGAGACGCTTCAACTATGGTTGGATTTGTAGATAAGGACGACGAAGACTCGCCGAACGAGCCACGAGAGGCGGTGGACAGTGGGGACGATTTTATATCGTGGTTTGAATCGACTGAGAACACCGAATCGTTGTAGTTTGAAAGCGAGAATTTTGGTTCTTTGAGTGTGATGATGTCGTCTACGTCCACGAATTCGTCAGGACTTTCTGTTAATGTATCACTGGACATGTTAGGGGTAGAAGGAACAACATTAGCAGGTGTAGGAATAGCAGGAGGAGCAACATCTTGGGCGATCTTTGTTGTAGGCATCCTGGAAATGGTCAAAGGTTGGGTTACATTTTCTGTCGAATCATTGACCAAAGTTGAAAGACTAGATTGTTGAGCTGCAAGGAGCAAAGATATGTCGTCGTCGGTGTAGTATGTTTTTTCTGAATTGATGTTGACTTTAACGGCATCAAATATCTTGGAATGCAACCCAAGGAATGAGCTGCTATCAATAGAAAGTACCTTAACGTCTTCTTCATTATTCGAAATAAGAGAAACGGAGCACATATCAACAATATTGGTGTTCGATGCTGGTAATACTGTACCACATTGTCTTTGGTTGATGGTTTTCTCGAGTGAATTCTTCACTGGGTTGAATTTAACACTATTTAAACCTTCTTTCAAACCACAATTCGTAATGTCAGGTTTTGGGTATTCATTTATATCGGATGTTAAATCCCAATGCACTATATTTCCATCTCTGCCTCCACTGAACAAGTCATTCTTGTTCCATTCTATGCTAATTATTTTTTTTCCTTGGTGACCATCGAGGCTTGCAAAATACTCTTGCTTTCTGATATCCCACAACCGTATAACTCCATCCATATGTGATGCAGCAAATACATTATCATCATCAGGGGACCATCTTATGACATTTGCACCTAGTTTCCTCTTGTTAGCCTGCTTCATAACTGATGATGGAACACTGAATTTGGGCTGTCTTGTATCAAACAATGAAACACCAAATTGGCCACATATACCCACCAGGTTAGAACTATGAGGGATAGGGTCAAAATTAACTATCCCTGGTATGCTCGAAATTGATATTGGTTTCGGCCTGACTTGCGAATCACATCCATTAACATCCCATAAGAACAAGTTATTGTCATAAAGGGACAATAAGTCCATACTTTTATCCATGAAGTTTAATTTTGTAATATCTGTGGAAGTATGGGATGCAATAGAAGGATCCTTATTTATAGATTTAAGATGCTTCCTGTGGTTGAAACGTTTAACGATTTCGGCAGATTGACCTTCCTCGTTTGAGTTTGGGATTGAGAGTAAATGAGCGTAACCTTTACTGTTTCCCGTTATCAAACCTAACTCATTGTTACCCATCTGTGGAACCCATCTCATTGCGTGAACATTTGGCAAAGAAATGGTGTTGTTGTGTGTTAAATAATTCTCGACCAAATCTAATTCGTAGATAAACAAATTAGAATCATCATTTGCACTTGATATGCCTAGTAATGATTTATTCGAGTCCTCTTGTCTCAGTAGAGCCATAGATGTTAAACTCATATCATTATCGGGGATTTTCCAGTAGTTGGACTTTATGTTCAACCTGTTCAATGAACATGACTTATTGAGAATTTCCGTGTCCTTAGGATTATGGTTATCTAATAACCAGGATGAAGAGCTATTATTCGACTTTGGCAATTCGAGACTGCTCATACTAGAAACAGGCGAAAGTTCAGGACTGTATTTCTTAACGGCGTTTTGTCTAAATAGTAATGTAGGTTCGTAATATTCGTTCATTATGTTAAATTATATTTATCCTCAAAATTGGCAAAAGAACATATACCATTTAAAATATCATTAAATACGTCCCATGATATATAAAGGTACTGTAAATCTTTGTCCAAACTGATTTCCAGCATTTGTTGCTGGTCTATGACCGATTTGATATTTCCCTGTCATCATTACAATCAAATGGCTGAAAAATGGCTGGCTTTAGTCACAGTCACGTGATGAAAAAGCTGGTGCAGCATTATCTTACTTGGAGAAGCTGGGAATAGCTACAAGTGGAAAGACAGAAGAACTTACAAAGTAATGGCTGGTAGAAGTAAGGGGTTGCACAGTCAGTATTTATCTAAACAACGAAAAGTTTAAGGAACGGCTAAGTATGTTTTAAATTTGCGGATTCTCGCTTATCAAAATTAATATTACATTAGATTATTTATCTTCTCTTATATATACAAGGTTTCAATAGCCACTCACCCTCTGCTTTCTCTGATCTCTTGAGTTCGAACTGTTCTTTCTCGTCTTCGTGTTCAACAAATTTCTTGCGTCTTTCTAATTTGGCCTTTCTTTCATTAATAATATCTTGCGGAGGCTTGAAGAATTCGAATCTGGTGAACATTTTATTGTCATTGTCAGTTTTTTTGTGGAAAAACCCACACAATTTCAAGGCATCGACGAATTCTGAGCCTACATTTTCAGGTTTAATAGATTTAGCTTCAGCTGACTCGGTGAACCTCGACTTGATTTCAGCAATCCATAATTCACCCCTTGGAGATAAAAGCCTGTAGGCTTCTTTTATGAAGTCTAAGAAGTTTGTTCCCATCAATGCCAAGCAAAATATTACTACTGTACATGACCCATCAGGAAGAGGGATATTTTTGATATCAGCGACTGTAATTCTATCGTTGGCCTTCTTCAAATCAAAACTATGGACTTCTATATCTAAGGTTTTTGGTCCTGTCTGGAACCTCCTTCCTTGATTTGCTTTTTGTTTCTTGTTTGGTTTTTTTGCATTGTATTGTTTTGTAAAGTTATTAACATCCAACGCCAATTGTGCTTCACCACAACCCATGTCTGCAATTACCACCTTCTTATTCGGTAAACCGGGCAATCCACCCGGAGCATTAACAGGCTTTGCAGATGCCCTGGTTTTTATTTGGTCCACAAACACATCAACTGGATTTTCTGGCCAGGATTGCACCTGAGATCTAAATCCTTGATGGTATTCATCAAACAACTCAGGTTGATCTTCGATCAAGCTCAATGCGTCTTTCGAAGTAATCGTATATAACTGCTCATTGATCCATCTAAATCTCGAACCTGATAATTTCGCCATCATCTTTTGTTGCAATGGGGTCAATTTCAGAGTGATTGGTAACGGCTTATCAGGAACTACTTCCTGTGCTTCATTTTCGTCATGCTTTCTCTTTTTAACCTTTTCTTTCTTTAAACCAGATTCTCCCTTATTCTCAGTTTTCCCTTCAGTTTCTTTAGCTTTTGCTTTGGCGTGTTCTTCGTGTCCTGCTTGTAGCTGCTTTTCTTCTTCTTCTCTCACTATAGCATGCTCTATTTTCTTTGCCTTCTTCCTTTCCTTTTTGGCCTTTTTCTTATCTGACCCACCACCAACAGCTACCTTTTCCTGCTTCAAATTCCATCCTTCAACCTGGAATAATGCCATATTTTCTATTATTTACTTAGTTAAGAATAGTTTAATAAAAAAACTCATCTACTAAAAAAAAATATTTTTGTGTCAGTCAGAAGCATCACCAAATTTATTTATTATACTCTAAAGTTGAACATCAAACTCATATGAAAAACACGTCTTGAACAATACAGCTAATACTATGATGATCAATGGCAGGTGTCAATATTCGTAACAAGATTGATTTTGCACCTGGTGAAAACCATATCGCTATACGGTACCCTAATAAATGTTATTATGTCCCAGAGATATTTCATATGGCGCCTACTGACGGTAAGATTATACCGCTATTCATATCAGATATCAACAGAAGTAGGTCCATACTTGAAGTTTATGGGTCAAAAGGATTTGAGAAGTACATGAATAATTTCATAATGATAAACAATTATCCGGTAAAGAAAGTTAAGATTACCGGAAAGGTCATAGGAGAAACATACAAGGATTACAGCGAATGGGGTGAACGAAATCCAAAGAATTATGTTCTTGTAGCCGTAGATGATTTTTCCAGTGACAGGATGCTGATTATTGAAGTGAAGGTTAAAGAAGCTTTGTATTTATCGGCAGGGTTAGTATTTAATAGATCATATGGAAAGATCGTCGAGGCAGTGGGGGTTGTGAATGAACTTAGTAACAAGAGAGAGCTACTAGTTGATTACATAAGTATAATTGGTAGTAATGATGAATTGGATCTTGAAATTGAGTCTTGGAAGGAGAAGCTAGAATTTAGAAACGCTGTATTGTGTAGTCCGTGGATATATGAGCCTCCTAAGTTGGATCAGACGCCAATGGCATACTCAGAACCAAAATTATTAAGAAAGGATTTTAATCGGAAAAAATTTAAAGAAGGTCTAGACATTTTTGACGCTGAGAGTGCTGTGAGCCCCAGTATTTTCAGAGAGGATAGTATACTTTTAAGACATCGCCTGGAACCTTGCCATGATATCATAGATTTAACTGAACCTATAGAAGTAGATGAAGTTCTTGAAGCCAATAAAGGACCTGAGGCAAATGAAGAGCTTGAAGTAAATGAAGATCCTGAAGTGAATGAATCTGAAGTTGAAGAGATAGATGACCCATTGTTACCTGATTCAGAAATTCAGATTTTGGAGGTGAATCAAGTTCATTCATTAGACAATGAAGCCGAAACCCCAGTTCAAGTATTTGAGGAATTTCAATTGACATTAGAATTTATCGTGTGGATATTGAATCACGGTCAATCGTCCTTTAAATTAGCTGACATTTATAACAATTCGAAAATCAGGCGTTTACTCGAAAACTTAGCTAATCTCAAGTTAGTATCTAGACGACTTAATTCGAATGAGCAATACAATGTCAAGCATACCAAACACGAAATATTCCACACCATACGACACCTTTTGCATATCAATTATAGATTAATTGACGTTTCCCGAAATCAAGATGTACACCCGCGTAACCTTTTTCAGTTGACTGACCACTTGAGATATTGCTTAAATGTACTCAAATTGCATAAAATAAATGAAGATAAAACTACAGTATTGAATGTTGAAAGCTACATGGGAATTTTCAAGATTCATTCTAATAACCTTATTGGAGATGTAGACTACAAATTAATTAATGGCATTATTGATTGGATTCTCACTAACGAATTTAATGAAAGAAAAAAATGGAAATATGATTCCAAAGTCATAGAATGGTCTTATATAGATTAGTCAAATTTCAGTATTTTAGATTTTGTAATTTCGGAGATCTCCGATTATTTTTCCAATACTCAAATTAGGTCAAAATTCTTATCTAATTAGTTCTCTTTTTACTACAAGCAAACACACTGTAATATGTCAATTGCTCCAATTACATGTCACATACTCGATACAAGTGTCGGAAAGCCCGCATCTAATGTTACTTGCTCAATCTACTATATTTCACCTTTATCAGCCGATCCTAATGATGAATCAGCTTACGAGGTTGTTAATTCCAAGCCATTTGCTATGGCAAGAACAGATAATGATGGGAGAATAAAAAGCTGGATATATGACCCAAAGCTAGATGCTAAATATAAGACAGATATTGGCATAGATGATAACAATTGGTGCAAATTAACACCCGGTATTTACAAAATAAAATTCTTAACAGGGAAGTACTTTCACAATTTAGATGAGAAGAACAGAACGTTTTTTCCATTTGTTGAAGTCATATTTGAAGTAGCTAATCCTCCGGATAACCACTACCATATTCCATTATTATTATCCAGCCATAGCTATACTACATATCGTGGTAGCTAAAGTAAATATTCGTCATTTAAATCTAATACATATGTATATCTAATACGTAATGAGGAACTAAAATATAAGTATAAATAACCAGGTCTTGCATTAATAGAAAAAATGAGTGTTATCTTGGGAATGTTCATGAACCAACATTTCATTACATTTATAAGTATTTAACTCATTTTTAATCTTGTTGATTTCCATCGACTCAGTTAAAGTATACTGAGTAACAGACTTGTTGTAACGTTTATACATATCCGGCGAAAATGTCTCATTAATTGAAATTTTATTCGAAAATTGAACCTTTTTGTTTTCAGAAGATCTAAGCAGCTTTTTTAAGATTGAATTAAGTTGCTTGTTTTCTATTCTTAAATTCGATAAGTCAGGAATGCTTTCGAATTTTCTAATGCTAATTTCTAAAATCTTTGAATCCTTGAACTGGCCAATATGCTTCAAGTGGATTGGAAGTCTTCTCCTTTGTAGCTCCGATAAATTATCAAATAAACCCGTTAATTGCTCATTATCAACCACTATAGTTTCAACTGTACTTTCTCCTTGTTCTTCATTGTTTTCTGGATTCAACCTTGTCTTCACAGTTCCAGACCTACTTAAAACACTATAGTCTTCAATTGAAGTGAATTCATCGTTATCCACTGGCCATATTAATTCATCTTGTAAGTATCTTATATTGTCATCAATATAGATTTCCTCAGAATTCGCCATAGAGAATGCTTCAGACGACGTTGACTTCGCATCATTATCTTCATCAATATCATCCGATATTTGGTTATTATCTTTTTTCTGCTGATCTTCAATTTGATCTCTAGTCAATTCATCATCTTTAATAAATAATTCGTTAATTGAATTTGTTGCAGCTTTACTTTTAGTCGAGTTAGCCCTATTGAACCTTTCATCAAAATTTATAAACATATCTTCAAATAGACCATCATCTCTTTCAATTGTTGGCAACTTAGTAATTGTCAAACTTTCAGTTTGCGGTATATTTTCATTATCTAAAACATTCAGCTTTGGTACAGCTTCTTCTTCTTTTTCTTCTGCTTCTTTTTGAGGCGGTATGGTTGGTTTTGTTTCATTTGTAGATGTATATGATTTATTATTAAACCCTGCCAGTTTCAAATTCGCAAACGAGAATGATCTCTTGCCTTTAGTCAATTTCTTGGGCTTATTGAATGATGATGTTTCGTGCGGAACGTCTGTTTGTGACCTCTTTGGATTATACATACTCTTACTTTCAAATGAATTAGATGATGATGCCGATGGCAATGGAAAAAGTTTCTTGAAGAATGCTTTGAAGTTTGCGGTGGATGATGACTTTTTCAATTTTGAATCTTCATTTAAGCTTCTAAATGATTTTACCTTGGGAACTTTATTGGTATTAATAGAATTCAGTGGAGCTTTATCAGACGGTTGCTCCTGCAAATCTGAGGGAGACTTCTTTTTCGGGATTTTTGATTCAGCAGTTACGACGTCAAGCATCGAGCCCTTTTTAAGGGGAGTTTTGTTTGCATTGGTTGATTCATTCTTGTCTATATTAGAATCCAAAGGCATTGAATCCAATTTCGAAGTATGTAATCCACCAACCTCAGATACCTGAGTAGGTAAACAGTGATTTTCAGGACATTTCTCTTCTGCGGAGTTGATATTTGGTAAAGAGCTATTTGGCAATGTGATTCTATCCTTGGGTGAAGCTGGTAAATCTTTCTGAACTGGGAACCGTCCTTCAGTAGGTGTGATAGGTAAAGCTTTCTCTTCAACCGATGCTTGGTTCTTATGATCAGTACCTAAGCCTTTCTCTGGAGAAGACGAATGACTATGAGGAATTCTTGGGGAGTTTTGTCTAGGCGACTTGGAAAATAATGCATTTGTTTTATTTGGCGATTCAAAGTCACTATGCAATATAGAATTAAATGAACTTATTGATGAAACGGACCTTTCATGCTTTCTAATTTTATCGCCTACAACTGCAACATCACCCCTTGGTGGAACCGCGACTTGATTATCGTTTAAAAATCTGTCAAAAGCATCGTCCTTATGAAAGTCAAAGAAATTCTTTGGTTTTGGAGATTCTGGTCTCGGAGAATCTGAACGAGAAACAGGATGCGATTTAAGTTGTTCAATTTCTTGAATATTAGTAGACTGATTATCATTTTCAGATATGTCTTTCCGAGTCTCGCTAGCATTCTCATGATTTATATTACTTAACTCCTCTTCACGACTAATGTTTTTATCTTTTTCAGCACCATTTACCCATTCCGAAACTTCAGGGACGGGAGACCCTTCTGGTGTTTGGAAATCGTCACTATTTGAATATTCAAAGACCAAAGAATTCTTAACCGGAGAATTATTTCTTATTTTATCTTCCGACACATCATGTAATGTACTCAAATCCTCAGTATCTGAATCCATTTGTGTATGGGTGCGATTCAAATCCTCTTGGGAAAATTCAGAGGAATCATTAGCTTCAATCATACCTAAACTAGGTTTGGGTATCTTCTTTAAGACTTCTGACTCTGAGTCAGATTCAGATTCAGCTGAATACTCCGCGATTATATCTGACTCTTCACTTCCCTGTTCAAGATCTTGCACTTGAAAATTATTTTCAGTCACATGTGCTGGCTGAAACAGCTCTTTCATCGCATCGTCATTAGGTCCCTGAGATTCTTCTCTCGTCGAACCTTGAGTCAAAATCTCATCACCCTTTGGTGTGGATGTTTGTTGAGGTCTTTGAATAGACCCTGATGTAGACTCTTCAAAATGGTCATTTATATTTTCTTCAGAAGATTGATCAACAGGATCGTCGGGTGTTTCAATACATGGTTCATGCATTGCTTGGTTAGATTCTTGATTCAGTCTATTATATGTAGTAGACTCCTCCGTAGGTTGTCGCATCCTTTCAAATGACTTGTTTTGACCGTCCGATTCAAGCCGGGTGTTCACCGGCATTTCGTCATTATGTACATCAATCCTAGGAACTTCTTCAATGCTATGAAGCTCAGTCTCTTTGATACTTTCTAATGAACTTGACTTTTGTAGTTCGTCATCAGCAATATTCCTATTTTCAATGTTTTTGATGCACTTAACATATCCCTCAGGCGCTTCCTCAATATCTATTGAAGTATTGATCGATGTCTGAGGAGTATTAGATGATGACCTATTTAAATTATAATTCGATAAAGACGATAGGTTTGAATCAGACGATGTGGGAACAGGTCTGTTCTGGTTAATATTTGTTGCTGGTGGATGATTAGGGTGCCCACCCGTATAGATGTTATCGGAGATTTTACACGCTCCTGGAATCCCTTCACTATCTTTTAAAACGTTCGATGCTTGAAAGCTTTTCATATTCTGTACTGGGGGACTTAAAAGGTTGGGTGAAGATGCATGAGGAGGAGGAGGAGGTACCTGCGTGTGGACAGGAGCAAGGTTTTGAATATTTATATTAGTTGGAGTATCAACCTTATTAGATCGTAACGATTGAGCTAAGTTTTGTTTATTACTCCTTTTCAAATTAGTAAATGATGAGGACTTCGAGATATACGAATTTGGAACCGCACTTGATGATGAGTTGGCGGATTGCATTGATACCATCGATGACGATCTAGGGATCTCGGGGGTTCCTGGAGATGGGGTATAATGCAACGTATAGCCGGCAGTAAGGTCCTTAGTCATAGAATTATTTCGTGATGATCCTGGTACCTTACCTGGTCTATGTCTCTTTGCCGGTGTCATACGAGGGCGAAATACTTCACCATTCGGAAAGTAGTACGTCCCGGTATTGGTCTTATGGAACTTATCGCCGGGATTAAGCATCGACGTGGGCAGTTTCTTGATTGACTTTTTCACAAATTTATCATCCAAATTAGTCAAATGTTCCGTTGACATGCTCCGGGCTGCCGTCGACACCGTATTGTACGAATTAGCCGTTGATAGCGACGTCAAAGAGTTTCTTCGCGTGGAAGATTGCAGAAGCGAATGTTCTGCCATATTATCTGTGTTTTCCTAGCCTTTGTTGTTTATGGTGCTATACCAAAATAACTGATAAATTTAAAACAAAACAAATCCAAAATACGCTTATTTCGATCTAAATTTTCCAATCAATATTCTCTTTCTCTACGTATACCGTTTCCTCGATATAATTGACGCTTTGAGACGCTATCGGTCTTGTTATTAATTTCTGTCAACCACCTCAATTAAGGGTTATTCGTATCAGCGTGTAATTTTACCAGGTTTGAAATTTCCAAAATATCGTGTTTTGTCGGTCAAATCCTCGATGCTTGTATGTTGTAAGCGAATGTGATGGAAGCAATATAGATGTATGACCGGGGACTATAATTTCAATCTTCTTTAAAAGAACCCTGACTAAAAAAACTTTTGAACACTTCAAGGCTATGGAAATGTCGGTTGCAGTTTAAAAGTGGAATTATCCCGGTGTGCATATAATCCCGAATACAATAAAGATTGCTGGAAGTTACTTTCTCGATATACTAGTGCTTTAGCCATAACAGATACTAGTAATTTTCGGGGTTTCGTGTGTCTGATAGTAGTTAAACAATTACAGTTTGCTTGGTGCCTAAATCAGCTATATATTGCCGGCTCCTGGTTTAATGTAGTGGGCTGTCTCAATCTTTTCTTCCGGCAAACGGCTGGATGTATATACAATAAAAAATAGGATAACATTCTGTAGGAACCACAATCCCCCGGAAGCACACGTAGACATATTTTTTATACGAATAGACTTCATCGGCAGTGGAGTTAAAGTAAGTTTATGGATATTCGCTTACAGATAATTGCATAGTGGAGAGTGCTTCTCGGGAAGCGTTACACGCAACGGTAAATATAAATATGGAGTTAAGTGAGACAGAAGCAATAAGCTGTATGATTGGTTATCTACATGGGCATGAGATCGTGCGTGATATACTAAAAGATAGCATATTGTTAGAGATTATGGGCCTTAATGTCCTGAGTCTATGTCTTTGTGGATCAGAATTTCATTTACCCCTGACATCGCGTAAAGCCAGCCATCCCAACAAATGTAGGACAATAATTGCTGGTATGCGAAACTAGCGTGGTCCACACCTGCATCATAAAATGTGTTATAACTGTACCTGCACGTCACTCGTGATACGACTGGCTCTACAAGGCTCGCTCGTAGTGTACGCTAACCTGGTGCCAAATGGATTGATGTTTCTTTGTACCACATTACTAAGTTATATAGTAACAAACGGCTGCAAACGGCGCGAACAACTATTGAAGGAAAATATCATGACGAGAGACAGCGACAACGATAATATATAGTTAAAGAGGGTTAGTGATGTCGTGGGTGTTTTTGCTGTTACTATTGAGTCAATTTTGATGTTCGCTAAATTTAAGAAATTGCCGCAAAAATATGTAAAATGCTTGGAAATATGTCAAACAATACTTATTCTATACTAGTTCGAAAATTAGTTAGCATAGGATTTAATGTTAAATCTAACATGAATAGCACCGTATATAGCGCAAAATACACATATGCAAAGAGTACAAAAGAATAGTACAAATGTGTGGTCCACAGGAGCACAGAAAAGATTTGCTGCATTGTGTAGTTGCAAAATATGTTCACAAAGCCAACATATATACTGTTGTATATCTCTAGGAATCACATTAGACAATTGTTTACAGACACCAAGTAGCAAGAAACTATATATCATGAACTTTATATTTCTTATCGTTATAATCTATTCCTTGGGAATGGCTTCCACCAAGGATATATCCTCTGGTAGGGTAGCATACAAAGGCTACAAGCTGTTGTCGTTAAGAGACGAACCACACCAGATAGACGGCAGAAAAAGTGGTTCAGCCTACAAAGAACTCCTGAATGTATATCCCCACAGAGAAAGAGCCAAAAATTTTGTGTTCCATGCCCAATCACAAATTAAAGCTAGAGACGTCGAGGATGATGAACCGGTAACTGAATATCCGTCAGGAACTTGGGATGAGTCGGCCCTGGAAGCAAGTCCGATTGTATCTCCAAGATATTCGGATACCAGGAAACCCAAAGTCGTATTGTATTCGAAGAAATCATGGATCAAAGATTACTTGGCCCTCTCAGCTGAGGAGGTTGAAGCAACTCAATCTGAGAGCGACCGAAATGAAATTGAAATAGACGTTGATCTGCTTATCGAATACTTAATAACTCAAGGCTTCTCGGAAGAAGATTTACAATTTTTGAAAACTAACTTAGATTATGGATTTGATGAAATCGAGAGAGAGTTAAGAAAAATTAAAGACAACAATACTAAAAAAAATAAGCACATATCGATTGGAGGAGAGCACGGAGACGACGATAAAGAACAAAACGATAAAGACAATAAGGATGACAACTCACCAAAAAGCAATTCAAATTCATTAAAGGCATCACTTAAGGTTCTTTGTTTAACATTTATTTTAGTAACATATATAATTTAAACATTTTTATAGGTTATATATTCTTTTTATCTTACACCAGTATTTTCTAAGACATCGACGTTGGTCGAACCGAGTCGCCAGAAGACAAGCATTATGACCAGCTGGTAAGGACTAAATTCCAATCCTAAATGTTTAATATATTCATCGTGATATGGAACCCAATCTCTCTTACCCTTTGACGATTCGAACTTTGATTTTCTTTTCAATAACCGTTTTAGTTCTTCATTATCATTAACTTCCTCCTTAATTTTTTGAAGATACTTTGGTCTTCTAATTAAATATTTTGCTGCTCCTCTTGCAATACCTAAATCGTCGTATGCAAATACATCAAGACTATTTAACGTAAAAAGTGCAAACATCTTCGCTGACCACACACCTATTCCCTTTAGTAAAGTCAACTCTTCGATAATTTGATCAACAGTGTTTTCTTTGTAAAACTGGATCTTGGATAAATTCGAATTAGGATCATTAAATACTTCACTGATGTGGGTAATATATTTCAGCTTTTGGTTCGATAAACCTGCACTTCTGAGCTCTTCAACGCTCTTTGAAAGAGTCTTCGCTGGCGTTGGCTTGCCATCCTCAAAGAGTGCCCTAAACTTGCCTTCGATCGACTTTGCAGCCATTCCAGATATCTGCTGACTAATAACACTTGATATTAATGCATACCAGTACTTTAATATAATTTCATCATCGCTAAATGACTCTTCAGATTCCTTCCTTTTGAAATGTTGGAAGTTTTGGTGTACTATGACTGGGTACAACGACGGGTCTTTCTCAACAACCCATTTCAAACCTTTAGCAAACTCCGGATCATGGAATTCTAAATATGATGCTGGCAACTCATAATCCGTCGGTATTTCAATATGTCCTAGCAAGTCCTCGAGATGAGGCTTTTTCTTTGGTGACGCTGGAACCCTACCGTTTGTTTTACTAACTTTTGTAGTTTTGACTACCTTCAGTGGCAGACCTAGTCCATGCGATACCTCTGTCTTTACAGTAGTACTTTTAGCTCTTGTAATTGCCATAGTTGCCAACCTAAGAAAAGCTATAGGGCCGTTAGTCAGCATTGCAGATCTATATATATTAACTGGAACCTGCATACAAATATCATACTAATTAGACCTATCCGTCCAGAATGCTGTTACCATATTGCCAGAATGAATATCAAGAACCATCTGAGACCGTGCATCCAATGAACTCAATAGCAATAGGTCGTGTTGTTATATCTCTTTCAATTGATCTATATAATTCTTTCCTAACGTGGTATCGCATATACTTAAGCAGAGTAAAAAATAGCATACTGATCTGTAACCGCGCTTAATTCTGAATTACCCAATTGGAATTGAGTCATAATTGTTCCGTTGGTACTTCAAATTGGTCAAATAATAGTTGGTGAAATTTTTTTGCATTTGGTTTCTTATACTCATAAATAAGACATAATAATTATAAAAATGTCCCCTCGTCATTTAGTGAGCATCCAGGATTTACTGGTCCAAGAACTAGAGTCTTTAGTTGAACAAGCTGCAAATTTCAAAGCGCAATATAAATCTAACGAGAATGCTCAAGAAAACCATAGTAAGTTACTAGGAAAGGTGATTGCATTATTGTTTTCTAAGAGATCTACCAGAACCAGAATCAGCACAGAAGGAGCAGCCGCATTTTTTGGTGCCCATGCTATGTTTTTGGGTAAGGACGATATTCAGTTAGGTGTTAATGAATCGTTGTACGACACTACCAGAGTCATCTCGTCAATGACATCATGTATTTTTGCCAGGGTTAATAAACACCAGGAAATATTGGATTTGTGCAAAGTTTCATCCGTGCCAATAATTAACTCATTGTGTGATAAATATCATCCGTTGCAAGCCATAACTGATATTTTGTCAATAAAGGAATCGTTCAATGGTAACATAAAAGGATTGAAATTAGCTTGGATAGGAGATGCAAACAACGTTATTAATGATTTGAGTATTGCAGCTTTGAAGCTGGGTATGCATGTGAGCATTGCTATTCCAGAATCAATGAGCTTTGATTCTATGATAACTGATAAAGCTAACCAAATAGCTGAAGAATTGAACATTAATTTTGAGATCGTTAATGAACCAGCAAAAGCTTTGAAAGATGCTAATGTCATAGTAACAGATACATGGATATCTATGGGAGAAGAAGCAGAAAAACAAATCAAATTAAAACAGTTCAATGATTTCCAAATCACTATGGACCTAATTTCAAGGGGAAATGTGAATTCCGATTGGAGATTCATGCATTGTTTACCAAGACATCAAGAAGAGGTAGATGACGAGATTTTCTATAGTGATAAGTCAATAGTTTTTGAAGAAGCGGAAAACAGATTATACGCTGCAATGGCAGTCATTAATGAATTCGTTGTTGAGAATAAGACAGTATCAAAATAAATCTATAATATTATAACTTATATACATGTATATACATATGTTAAAAATGAACAAAGCACATCATTTTTTCCAATATTACATTATCGTCAAAATTAATAACTTCGACTGTTGTAGAGCCTTCGATTTCATAGTTTCCATCCTGTAAATCATAACCATGCTTATCAAATAATTGGGTGAGGATTATGTTCGATTGAAACGGTTTGATTTCAGGTTTCATTGTACCTATAGTGATATGAGGATACGCATTTGAACACTTGAGTTCAACAACTTCATGGTTTGCATCAAACGATTTTACAATTGAAGAATCAACACATATCAAGGTATCTTTTGCTATGATTAACTTTTTGAATTTAATATCACAATAAAAGTCTAAAGTCATAACATCCTTTCCTTCATATTTGTTCAAGATAAATTCTGAGTCGAACTTTTTATTCAAGTCTTCCCAAATATCAATTTGCGCTTGGTCTTTTTTTGCAGCGCTAGCATGAGACAACGTAATGTGGAACTCATCCTGTACCCTACCAATATTATTCAATTCCGCCCAAGCTGGGTTGGACCCTAATTTAGAATCAATAATACTTTTGAATTTCTGCATATCAATTCGAACACCGTAATATACTATGCTCTTCTTCGTCTTTTTCGGTTGGGTAGAACTCGCATCCTTTTTTTTATTCTTTTCAGGCTTTCCAAAAGCCTTCGTGAAGTCAGGTTTATAATCTAGTGCCTTCTTGAAACTATTTTCAATATCAGCGTCCGATGGAATAGTATCAACCAAGCCAGGAAATTGTTTTAACTCTTCAATAATAGTCTTGGAATTGAAAAAAGAAGAATCTGCAGAGATCTTCATATTTATAACTAAATCAAATTGGTTATCAGGTTCTTGGTTGATATCCAATCTCTGAAATCTTTTAATGAATCCGTTCATTACCTGATTTGCTAGCTTGGCATCTGTGTTGAATTTAATCGATTGATGATTATCACCTCTTTTACTAATTCTATCATACGTAACATCGAATAATTCTTGTTTGTCTAAAGAAACATCTACGAAGTTAATGGCAATAAACTTTAAGCCAATATCTGCTGATAAATAGTTATCTTTCAAACTGAGAAACTGGTCAAATAGTTGTTGACGCTCTCTTTTCTGATGGTTGTTTCTATCACAAAACACTAAGGATGCTTCAGGTCGTGCTAATTCTGTTAAACATTGAACAACTAGTTTATTTTTGGTAGAATTATTTGCTATATTATCGTTCTGAACATGAGCCCAATTTGGAAATAAGTTAAGTATCGTTTGGAATACTGTAGTCTTACCACATCCAATTGTGGAAATAGGTATTAAGACATACTTGTATGAAGTGGGTTCATCATTTAATGATAATTCTTTGAGCTTATCTAAACTATCGTATTCGATTAACTCAATTCCATTTATTGCATTCAACCCATTTTCTTTTAAAAACAATTGTCGTATTTTAATAATACCAAATCCTTTTAAAAAGTTGTCTTTATAAGATGGTTCGTTAGCAAATAATACTTTAATAAACTCGAGATACTTTAAAGTGATGTATTTATGCTTTTTAACTTTCGCCATAATTGCGCTAATAGGTAATTTATTGCTCATTAAACTTTTAGTAACTTCTCTGAATTGTCTGTATAGTAAGTAAGGTTCTTCAAATTTAAACTTGAAGAAAAAATCATCACCATTTAAGTGACATCTGATAACAAAACCTTCAACTTCACGATTATCGAAAGTACCCGTTTTTGCTGCTTCTTGTAAGCAATTCCAAAGGTCCTCGAACGAATCCTTTTGAAAGTAATCGACAGTTTTGAATCCCCATTCATTAGCAAAATCGTTTACTTTTTGGATTGGATAAGTCTTGAATTTTATAGTATTGAAGTTTAATCCATGCAAATATAAGCCGGAGGCGTCCTTTGAATATGGCAATACGTGCTCTTCAAACTCATCATTACATAATTCTGTTACTGCAGTAACATTCAAACTATACAACAAAAGCCCCAAATCTTTTTTTGACTTGTGAATTTTATTCAATTGTTTTTCAATCTCTATTTCGCCTTGAATGGCATGGTTCCTAGTTAAGTCATCTCTTTGACCTGTGGAATGTTTCGAACAGACAACAAGGTCACCATTCAGCAAACCTGATATGAATATAATGCACCCATTTTCCTTTAATGTTAAATCATATGGGCCAGTTGTATTATTCTTCAAAAAGTCTAATTTGGTTTCAGGGACCTCATTGACGTTGAAAAATTTGTCATAACCTCTGACAACAATTTCGTTATTAACTGTGAATAAACCTCTGGCATTACATGGTAACCTCTTAGTATCATTTTTGCTATAATAATCCCATTCGTTAAATTTCCAACTAGTTATTTCTCTATCGGTGTTATTGATGATGTTGGTAAATTTCTTACATCTTCCGTATTTTTTTAACAATGTACTTTCTTCCAATTGATCAATAAGATCCTCAACATCATCCGTTGTATCATGAGCTGGGTCTAGAGGTACAAACATCTTGGGTGGGTCTGCTATAAACTAGGCATCTAGTAGTTAGTCACAATCTAGAAAATTTATATATAGGTCGTGTTTATACCATATGGTATACAAGAACATAACAAATGGCTATTACCGTGGAGTATACTTCGATTTGCAGAAGAAGCCAAGAGAGGAAACATGTCTTTCAATGTCGATATAGATGAAGCAGATGTTGCGGTTTTGAATCAGAATTTGATTAAGTCGAAGGAATTGTTCACGTCAATTTCTCGATCGTTAAATAAGATCTCGACCAAATCATCAACTGCTTCCATTAAGATTAAGCCTATATTGAAAGATGTCAACAAATTGAACGATAACAGGAACCAACTTGATTCGGGGTTGAACTTATTGTCTGAGGTATCGAATTATGCATCAGAAACGTCGAAATATGAATCGGTTTTGAATAATTCAATCGAGCTAATTGGATTGAAGAAGTTTATTGACACATTGACCAGGTCGAAAGTATTACTAACAGAGATGAAGAGCAGTATCAAGAGATTTAAGGGGATTTTAATTAATTTTGAAAATTTGATTGATAAGTCCGAATTGAATTTGGAAAACTATTTCCAAAAGCTGCTCAAGAGTAACGCAATGGGAACGAATAAGATGAACGAAATCATACTTATTTTCCAATATTTCTACAGTTCATCAATGAGTGGTCAGAAAACTATTGATAAGATATTTATGAGAAGTCAATCAATTAAGTTGGCGGAAATAATGAGGCCTCATGAAGAGCCTACCAAACCAATCAAGAGAAATTCAAACATTCCGTACGAAAAAGGATCCAATGGAATAAATAGATATAATAATGAGATGATTAAGGCGATTAAAGGAGAAATAGGGTTACTTAATGAGGTTGGAGCCAAGATAAATTTGAACGCTAGCGCAAAGGATATGTTTGTGCTTGATATTGTCCGCAAGGTGATCAATGAAAGTTATGCTGAAGTAATTGGCAACTTTAATAAATTTTTTGCGCAGTCAAAGACTTTGAATAACGATTTACTTATTTTGGAAACAATTGAAAACTTGAATCATTTTGAGAAGTTTTTGAATGTGAGTAATATCGACGTGCGTAGTTTCCCAGCATTCAATGAGAACTATCATCAATTGATTAACATATCTACCGAAATATTCCGTGAGCTAATTGAATACAGTGAGAATAGAGTGAAATCAGTGGAAAGATTGACGGACTTGAATGCCACGGAAACAGTGGTGGAATTGATTTCCAGGATACGTAAGCTCTCCGAATACAATATTTCACTTTTGAAGTTAATCAGTGGGATGAAGCTAGGATCATGGTTGAACCTCAAGCCCGCCGTAAGATTTATCAGTGTTTACACATCAGTTATACCCAATATCAGTGATGACATTGATGAAACAGCACCGGAACACTTATTATCATGTTTTCTAAGTGATTACATCGACTCAATTATTATCAACATCGAAATTGGGTTGAAGGCAGATGTGAGTTTGAAAAAATCGATGCAAGGGTACTACTTAATCAAGAACACCATATTAATTGAGACGATTGTCAACAGGTCACAACAGTTATTTAACAGCTTGGGCAACCTCGGAATCGAACGGTTGAACCGGTTGAAAAAACGATTCTTGAAGCTCTTCCTTGACGATTGGAACTATGCGTCGTACATTATCATCCGTGACATGACAACAATTACCACCACTAATGCGGTTTCAGGCCACTCGGGGTCTGGAATGTCAAGCAAAGAAAAGGAGCAAATCAAGGAGTTATTTAAGAACTTCAACGAGTCGTTTGAAGATGCATTGCGGAATTATGAGAAATATAACATTACCGACGTCAATTTGCGGGCATACCTCTCAGGCGAAATCAAGAAGTTAATTATGAACGCATACTTTAAACTTTACGATAAATATGGAAGCGGCGAATTCACCAAAAATAAGGCCAAATACATTAAATACAACAAACATCAATTCGAGCAAATTCTCAACGAGAAGTTGTGAATGGGCCGACTCCGAATCTTTATGTCTAAGCAATTAAAGCCTCCTGGTGTCGAAGTTACGTAAATAGTAAATCACTGCGCAAATATAACTGCGCAAAATGGTACGTTCCAAAATAAATCTGTACCCATTCGTGACGAGCAATATCTGGGCAGACTGTATGAAATGTCTGATAAAAGCTTGAGACGCTATGCAAACTAACATAAGAAGCACACATACAAGATGAATCAATATGGTACCATTGCAAGACAAGCATATATATGTATAGTTACTTCACTGCAGTTACATAAAATAGACACCCAATAGAAGCTGTTGAATGCAAAAACTGTAGCCTCGCAAAAGTTGGGGGTCCTTAGGCTCCCCAGCGATATATCCGAAGGATCTTTTACCACTAAATACGAGCGAATGTACGTCGGGCCGTTTCCCGAGACCCCTTAGAAACAGATATCACCGGATGGCTTTTTTTCTACGCAGCAGCCAAGTCTTGGCACCACTGACACCACTGCGGTGATCATTATGCGCAAGTCGATGCATGAAAACCTAAATGGCAACCTAAAGAATATCCTCCAGGATTGTCTCAAGAATAGTGAAAACGTGTTAAACCGCGCCATCAGATCCGCACACCCATATTTTAGAAAGAGCGCATCCTTACATTGTAAGTCATAACTCCGTGACAAGCCTTCGACAAGCCTGCGACAAGCTTTCAATATCCCGCAAAGCCATATTTACGCATTCCCGAGCGAGCCCAGAGTCCAAATACGGCAGATTCGGTGGTCGGGCATAACTAATTCCATGTCTATCATCCATAAGACTCCATGCTATGTCATACTCACCATTCTCACCATCACTTCTCTTAATGCCTTGCCATTTTCCCCAAATGTCTCCATATGTCTTCTTGTTCTATTCTTTTGTCTCCACTTGACTATCGGGCCGATATTTCGCCTGTACATCCGACTTCGGACCTTTATACTATCCGACTCTTGTTTAGAAACCCCTATGGTGTCAATTACAAGAACTGAGCGACAAGAACTATACAGAATCGCAGCTCCTAACCCGCGCAACTTGCCCGTCTTAGCCCATAGTTAAGAATTCTATCTGGCGGATTTATGTTGTCAAGCAAGTGGATGCGAAATTTTTGTGCGTCGTACTAATGCGGAAGTCTTGGCATTTTGACAGATGTCAAAGTTTACGACCCTTCCGTAAGCAAAGCCCCGATAGTTAACCATAGCACTACAAGTTAATATGATGAAATACAGATTGATACTAGGGTGATTAATATTCAGTAACCACGCAAACGTACGTTACACACGGGGGACAACGAGTAACCAAAAATTGGCATCAAGTTTGGCCACATGATCGTCGAAGAGCTCCACTGTTCGGAAAGTGAGTTTTCAGACGCACAACAAAAGGTTCGCAATGCAACCTTGGCATACAGATCGACAAGAATAGATGTGACAAGAATCTGTTTACGGTTATGTACCGGTGCATATACCAAGAGTTCGACAAAAATACAAATATTGGCATTTCGTGCCAGTATATATAGGAGGCAAAAGTAGCCCATATGACCTAAATTGATCATTATGTCAGTGTTGAGAAACATGAGTAACGTACAGAATAACAAAGTTAGTTTACCATCGATATCCAATATACTCCGTGAGTCAGGACCGGTGTATCAGCAACCATATGGAGGACCGTACCAAAGGTACGACCAGGGACCACCACCACCATTGGAGGCACGTTTTGGGGACTACGAAGGTGCCAGATATGGCCCACGCTATGAGATGGGAGCCAGATATGAAACCTTGCCTAGGTATGAAGGATCACCTAGGTATGCCGCATCGGCCAGGTTTGATATATCGCCTAGATATGATGCTGCAAGGATACCTGTGTCACCCAGATATGAAACTTCGGCTTCCTATGGTCCTAGATATGAGGGTATGTCTCGCCCCAGCTTTGATACCACCCCTAGATACGGGGCTCCAACTTACGAGAGACCTAGAGCCGTGTCTTCTGAGACATCGGTACCAGTTACTGGAGTAGTTCCAACGCACTTCAAGGCAGACGAGCCAAAATATCCAGCTAAGACAGGAAGCAGCGTAGGAGTATGCAAACGCAAAACAAGAAACAATCTCCCCAAAGAAACCACCTACATCCTCATAAACTGGTTGAACGATCACCTCAATCACCCTTACCCAAATTCGTTCGAGAAGAACCAGTTAATGATTGCAACAGGATTGAACCATCAGCAATTGCTGAACTGGTTCATCAACGCCAGAAGACGCAAAATAAAAATGTTAAAGGAACAAAGGAAATTAAATTCATAGGTGCCATCGGCGAGTGGACCAGGATGAACAACGATTCAACGCATAGAAGCATTTACAACGAGTCGACGCTGCTGGCAAGTCGACCGGATGACTTCGCATGAATATTTATTATATTGATTGCATCTACGTATGGGGCCAGCATTGCTGGTTATTATTATACTTCTTTATATATATTTAATTAACGCTTAATGGGGTATATGTGTTCTGTAGTGATCTATATAGGCCGAAGCATGTTGAACGAACATTCGTTGTCGTAACGTTAGTGTGTTGCTTTTGAAATCTGGGGTTAGAAAGTTCTACCAATCTTTCGCCATAGATGGAAATTTCTATTCACCACAAATTTGCTTGCAGATACATAGTCATGTAGTTACTTCGTACCAAGATAAGTACCTAGGGGATTAGACAGTCCTGGAGTGCAAAATTGGTAGGCATTAGATTTCTATTTTCGGTATCAAGTCGATTTACGCACGATATTTATTTACCTTTTGATAATCTTGATCTACACTTTTTGTTCACACCATCACCGTTTTTCACCAAAGATGATTTGCACAGCAGATGCTCTTGTAGCTATCAGTGATAGGATCCTCAACTCCATCGATGAGTTGAACAAAGTGGAGTACAACAAGAAAGGCAGAAAGTATAAATTTGTAAACAACCATTTTCAAAGAGTTAGAGAAGAAGAAAAGCATCTTATTATATACCCCGAAGATTTGACAGCCAAAATGGGAGTAATTCTGTCGTACCATATTTTAAAAAGTATCAACGGAGGAACAATCCTTGAGCAATTTCCTGATTTGTGTCTCTCGATCATTGGAGTGGCCAACCAACTTGAGGTCAATAAATGGTATGAAGAGGAAAATAGTTCGGTGGTCAACTACAAAAATTCCAAGTTCGACCCATTAGTGAGTAAGGATGATGCCATTGTGTACTTTGAAGGTGTCACTGATGATCATATTCGTAAAGGACTTGACATAATGGTGTGCTCAAAATTAAATTTCTTGCACACTGATCACCACATTGGGATCAAATTGGACAGTCATTACATTAGACATTATGTGAATCAGCATTTCGGACCCGAGGCATTAAATAACCCTGATGTTCTTGTGGCGCTCAAGAGTTTTGTCCACTGGGGTAACATCAAGGGAATCTTGTATAAGCTAGACATTCCGAATATAAACATTCCCGACAAGCTTCGGTCAAACTTTGCCAACTTTCCTGATCCACCAACCGATTTGAAAGACAGTGTTTACGACAGATATCCTTCAGGAACTTCACTATATTCATTGATCCGCAAAGCCATTGATATTTTAGGCGATTATAAGTATTCTAAATTGATTCCTTATCCTACAGACCCACTCTATGATTTGGATTGGATATTCAATTTATGTAATGATATTGAAAATAATCCTATTAAATACCACCTAAGATCTACAAAGAAGAGTTTATGCATAGATCCCATTAATTTGAACGAATTAACCCAGGAGCATTCGACTCAAATTAAAAATTTATTAGCTTTAATTTCACTAGTGTTTAATGTTTTCGAAAATACTGGTGGAGAATTCTTATTGCAAAATTCCAAAATCCCTAAGTTGGACGATGAATTGATTGAGAAGCACTTGGTCTATTATCATGAATTATGTGACGTTAAAGATAAAATTACAGAGTACGAATTAAAAGATTGGGATGCAAATGACATAGTTTTGAGATTACAAAAAAATGAGTCCTCAATTTTTAACTCGGTTATGGAAATGCGATTAAAATATATTGATAATTACGAATAAATAGACATAGAAATATACATAGAGACATGATGTTTGAATATATTAAATCGTGGTTCGTTTCACCTCCAGTATCGCCTGCAATAAAGGCTGAAGTCCAAAGTTTAATTGATAGTAACAAAATCTTAATTTTTCTGAAGTCATATTGTCCATACTGTGATTCTACCAAAGACTTAGTCAAGTCCTTAACGTCTGACTTTAAAGTGGTTGAGTTGAATACTTCCGATAATGGTAGAACGATGCAAGATGCTTTACGTGAAATGACGGGACAAAGTACCGTTCCAAATATTTTTATCAATAAGAAACATATCGGTGGCAATTCAGATCTCCAGGCCTTACAAGGAACCGGCAAACTTAAGCCATTAATTCACTAAATTATAGTTTGCTCAGATTCACATGGTTTGAACAGACATGTCTGAATTACATGGATCTTTTAGAATAATAAACTATATATACAGTAATTATTATCTAGTAATTATGTATATACTTAAAAATTACTGCAATACAAGAATGAACAATACGAAACCTAGAACCAAGGTAATTTGGTGTTATTCTCCCAAACTAAATCTCCAGTTGCTAATAATTTGTCTTCCTTATCATTATTGATTAAAATGGCACTTCTGGAACCATTTTCAATGCCATCGGTGCCTTTATGCTCTGTAATTAAAAACTGCTTAACATCGGTAGATATCTCAGATTCCCATACTGTAGCTTTAACGAAATTTCCAAGAATTTTATCGTTTGTGGCATTCATGTGTTCAAGGTATGCCTTCATTAACTCGATTAATTTGATCGAATATTTCAGATTATCAAATTGCGACATAACAACTATCTTCAAAATAGTTATTTGATTTTCGTACTTGTTCGTTGTGGTATCAAGGTTCCAATCGTAAGTCCACGAAATGAACCCAATCAACTGGCCCAGCTTGGTCTTTATTTTTATTCCAAAATTGGTCGGATCAACTCTTTGAAACTTCTTAATAAGCTCGTCATATGGTAAAGAGCTGTCGATATCCATTTGACAGTTAAATAATTTGTGACTGATAAATTTAGCTCTCATATGGAACCAGTCGATGAAATCCAGACTAGGGTTAATACTAACTCTGGTCTTATGATCAATTTTCGTTTTACTTATCATCTCAGTTTCTAACTCTTTATTATAAGCCTCCATCACTTTTTCAAAATCGTGATACTTGATCAACTCGACAACATCCTCGTCTTGTTTTACCATGGCATCGTACTCGCCACCAGTTTGAGACAAAGGAAAATTCAACAAGGGAATAGCAAAAGATCTAAATCCATTTCTGGTGTAATATTCTCCAACTTCTGAATATAAAAATGTAAACCCATCAGGCCCAACGTATTCACTTTTGCTCAACTCGACGATCTTGTCAATCATGATTTTGGCCAATCCCTTGCCTCTATGGTCAGCATACGTGAAAACCCCACCTATGCACCCCGACAATATATCTTTCTTGACTACTTTGTCTGTTTCCTTGTCCCAGGTGAACTTCCAAGACTGTCTTATGAGCAATTCTACAGAGCATAACTTGTCTTCCGGGTTTTTGATATCCTGAAGCATGAACACAAGTAATCTATTTCTAGTGGACAGGGTAATCTTGGACTTGCCCAACACATATTCTCTTTCGATGTAATTCTCCGATGATAATTGGCCCTTCCAAGATTGAGAATTCTGAAGCCTGGTGAAATTAACCTCTTCTGGGTCTGTAACGTTAACTAATCTATAGTCATCTCCCGTAATAAACGTCATTTAGCTATCTTAGTTTTAGGGCGTATATTATATAACTTCTCTATCTGATCCCGTATCAGGAAACACTCCTCTATTTATATTCGGTTATAGTCGGCGTCTGTTGATGTTAGAGGAATTTTTTTTTTGCTTACGGCTATACTCCGCGATGTGGCACTTTGTGGTCCCCAATAAGTTTTCTTCTGCTGTTAGGTATGATGCCCAAATGTACATGGCGTTGATATTAATCAGAACAAGTATATGGCATTTTGTTTCACCATAGACTAACCAAACGTTTCGGAGCTTCTCATATAGAGGGGAACCATGTCTGATCACAATTAATGAGAGTCATACCAGATGCAAAACAGTACTTGTAGCAGATATAATCATAACTTTTGACAATCAGATTCTTTTATTAGTAGTATATAAACTATTTCCCCGCAATTTCAACAACCATCACGACAGTCTGCTCTATGGGTGATAGATGATAATGGCTGCAATAGTGGTTACTGGGATTTGGATGGTGAATAGGAAAAGTCGCCATCACACGACTGGGTCCATATTTTTCAAATGGAGTTCAACGGTGTAGACTTGGTGAAGGAAGTGGCATAGGTAAACATATCATGGAATTATTACCGGACGGACAAAGGAATACTGCCACCGAAGTGTCCTGGGATGACCAGCAGAAAATCAACAAATTCTCTACGTTAATAAATAAAAAGGATGAGAATTTGGAAGTGTTGAAGAAACTCAAGGAGGAAAAGGAATATCTCGATGATTTGTCTTTGGAGATTGAGTTATTGGACGAAGATGAGAAGATTCAGTACAAAGTTGGTGAAGTTTTCATATTCATGAAGGTTAACAAGGTGATCGAAAAAATTGAGGTCGACAACGAAGTGTTGACGGAGAAGATCAGCAACATCGAAACTTCAGTTGAAGATATCGACGACCTGTTGGAGAGCTATAAGAAGCAATTGTATGCCAGGTTTGGCAATAATATTAATCTTGAACGCTAGTATCTTGTATAATATCTATTAATAAATAATGTCATAGTTGTTGATTGTAGTATGTGTGGTGTTCGTAGAGGGGCAGTATAAATGCCTAGCTTAGAACAATCGTTGGGAAAGATAGCGATACTAATATCAGAGCTTGAAACCGATCATATGCTCCGCCTAACAAATTGACTTTTAGGTATAAAATCTTCGATCAAGTTTGAAACATCACCACACCGGTTAAACTTTATATTGTCGAGAGTATATTGGATCTAGCCTGGCAAACTATCGATACCAGAGGAAATGTAACGATCGTATTCGAGTATTATGTTTAGATATTATATTCTTCTAATATGAAGTAAATGGAGAGCCAACTTAAAAACAAGATTTCGACGGTCCTTGGCCAAAATATTTAACCGAGTTGTTGCAACCATTTTAGAAAGAGGCATTTTTGATACAGTAACATTATTACCATTCAATTACCACTTAAGACGTATTATAGAGTCTATAAGAAAGCATTTCCTATCATTCAACCGTACATTGTATTCAATTACTAAATTATAGTCATTTTCCTACTCATAATCGTTAGCCGCTGCAAATACTTACAATGAAAAGTTGGAATTCAATAAGTTCTACCGTCAACAAATTGAACAATTTCTACAATGATATCAGTTGCAGTAATTTTAAGCTACACTTGCAAGTTCTTAATTCAACCATATACCAGAGAGGACTATGTGAGGAAGACTTTAAGTTGACGACACCTCCGATTCTAAGAGGTATTGTAGTGTTACAGATACTAAGACCAACTAAGATTAGTGATATATCCGTCATATTTCACGGAGAGCAGAGTGAAACCATAATTGAATTCGAAGCTATAGACGTTCTGGAACCTTTGTTTGCCAAAAGAAAGAAAACAACCAAACCTCTAGTGAATGAACTATTTACCTGGGATTATCAATATTCGAAAGAAATACAGATCGGAACTTATACTTTCCCATTTCATTTCATAATTGATAGCTTATTACCAGAAAGTTTCATTAGTCGTCATTTGAATATCTGTTATAGAATTGACACCTGTTTGAAGTATGAAACAAACAACTGTACTGGAAAAAAAAAGGCTCGAAAAGGTCAAGATATCAAATTAATAAGATGTGTTCCAGATACTCTATTTAATGACTCAATATTGGCTACAGGGAATTGGAGAGATTTGCTAGTTTATGAATTCAGCTTTCAAAATAAAATAGCTTTTCAAGAGTCTCCGTTTTTGTCTATATTTAGAATTTATCCTATCGAGCCAGAGAGCCAATATTTCACTTTACACGGTGTATCTATTTGGATTGTACAAAATCTAACGTTTGATAAATACGTGTGCTCAAACTACAAAAAGAAATATACTGAAACTGACAAGATTTTATTATATAGGAGAATGTTCAATTTTCAGTCCTTAGTAACGAAGAATGGTTCTTATAACTTTGAAATTTGTTTAAAGATCCCTTCAAATGGGACGATATATGATAAGTCAAATCAAAAATTGAAGAAAACTATTTACCCTAGTATAAATAATTCCAATGAAGGGTTTATAAGCTCCCATACTTTGAAAGTTACAGTTGAGGTAAGCGAATGCGAAAGACATAATCAAATTAAAAATAAACAGACCTATGAGGTATCTAGAACAAATAGTACCTTCTCATCTTCCAGTGAAAAATCCATGGAGGCGCTTGATTCGGTTACATTCCCTGGCTATTCAAATTATCATGAAAAAAGAACAGATGCTACAAGATTCAAGAAAATCGAACTTTCTTTTACAGCACCTATAAAGTTATTAAGTCATGATTCAGAAATTGCATCCGAATCACCACCTTGCTATTCTGATATGCAGAAGAGGAACGACAATATTGTGATGGATCTAATCTCAGCTAATAAATTTGATATAGTTCCCCCAGCCTACGAGGAAACAGCTCTTTAAATCTTCTATTGATACAGTTTTCTATTTAGCTTTATTTTGATTTTGCTACTGTTACAAACTGTCATTGCAGCAATTTTTCTATAGTACATTATGTATTTCCTCAAGTTTATTCATCGTCACTATCTTCATAGGTTGGGATATCTTGAAATTCCCCCGAGTTCTGCTTAGAAGCATTCTGATGATTTTTTGTACTCCCACCAAACCCATTAGGCTCGGGTTCTTCCATGTCGATTTTAGTCCGTTTCAGTGCAGGCTCATCTTCTCTGTTAGGCTCAGGATGTGATCTTCCAGTCTCGCTATACAGTAATCTGTTACCCTGCGATTTTTCATAGATCCTTTTCTTCCATGCTTTGCCGATCTTAGGACATGCTTCAATTAATTCTTCTTCACTCACACCATCTTGAATACTATGTAAAATTTTATCAACAACAGAAATATGATTTCCATTACTCTTATCATTTCTAAATCGTAACATCTCCCAATATCCAGGTTCTGAAAGCTTCTTACGGCATTCAACAATCCTGCCTTGCAAAGGTTGTCCCAAGTTCTTTAATTTTTCCCAATCTTCATTTTCTAAGGATAATTTCGTAAAGTCTTCATAATCTGCACCTCCCTTCCAAACCCTTAATTTGATTATTTCTGGCTTAGAATCATAGTCTGTATATGTAGAGTCGGGATCTCTTGGGTCTAAATCAGGGTCTTGAAACTTATTAAATATCATTTCCATTTTGTAATCGACAGTATTTTCATGTGCTGGTTTCCACTTTAATAAGGTGCTATCAGTACCAAACACATATGGTGTCTCAGCGCAAGTGAAAATCAAGCCATCAGATTCGTGAAATAATTGATCCATTTTAGATAAGACATCATCAGCGTGATAGGAGGATGTCATTAATTTAAAGCTTACTTTAAAAGGAAAATCAGGAGAGTTGACAATTTCAGGATTCTTACGTTTAAAATTGTCAAATGGTTTCATTACTTGTTCCGTAATATAACCAAGTCTCTTCGGTAAGTGTCTCTTGGTTATATCTTTCCCATTAATCGCCAATGCGTCAAATATGCAAAACCTCAATACGGGCTCTGGGACATTTTTTGTTTCAAGAACTAATTCTCCATCTAGTAAAGTCCCGTGATGATATGTTTTACCTTTTTCTTCATTATTCGTTAACGGGAAATGGATGTTGGGAATGTAGTAATAATCATTTTCTCTGGTTATTAAAAAAACACCTTCACCTCTTTCGGGGTGATTAATTATGAATAATAAACAACGTAATCCATCAGACTTCTCACATACATAGTAATCCTTATTCATTAACGTATCATTCAAATGATGTCTTTCAAATGAAATTGGTTGAGCCCCAGGGAATGATGGATTCCTTCTACCTAACAAATCAGCCACCATTAACCTTAATTCTTGTGTTTCATTTCTATCGAGAATTGTACCTGGTATTACAGGCATATCTCGTTCTTCCAATTGAATCATCTTGACGGGTATATATATCAAAGTAGTATTAGATTGCCTATAGTCAAATGAACATTTTCAAAAAACAACCAAACGACATTTTTATAACTCCCCATTTACGACATTATTTGAACTACATTTTCCTTGGATAGGTTAAGAATAGATGCAAGTAATATATATGACTAATCACTATAGAGTAAAATTAAATATAAGGGAAAGAATTATTTAACCTAATATATCACCTATTGATATTTTTGACCTTGTAATTTCAGAAGAGGCAACAACTTGCAGTTCGTGTTTCGTACCTTTTGGATAAATATCCGACAATTTATCTTCACTATTTTGTAATCCATACAATTCTCCATCCAATGGTTCATTAAGTATATCAAATAAGGGCTGGCTTTCACGTTCTGGAGTTAATTCTTTATCTTCATCTTTTATGTGATAACAAGTTTGACAAAGAAACTTTTGGTTTGGAGAATCAGGTATTTCATTGAAATTGCCTTGATTACGATCCTTTTGTATCCACCACATAGGAGAAGCCGTAGTTTTACATCTTCCACAAGATTTGACGTCTTTAGACTTCACATTAATAATATTGGACAGATTTAACAATTTCAAATAATTATTCTTCAGTTTCTGATTCTTTTCCTGTTCCTCATATGCCTTTATCATCTTAATATAAATATTGGACTTCAATTGAGGTCCAGTTAACTTATTACTTGTATTATTGCTTTTCACTAGATCTTCCAAATAGATTTGAATAATAGGTTTAAGCTCATCTCTACTAATACCATAAACTCTATTACCCAAAGTTCTCATACTATGAATCTTTATTGAGGAAGTTGTATGCAATGGGCATAGTAAGATAGGTTGCAATTTACCGTATTCATCACCGACCTTGACAAGTTTATTGTCTTTGTCACTGAGCCTTTTAGAGCATAACTTGAACCCTAATTTAAAATTTGAGGTATCTTGAGCACAAGTTATATGGTATTTCATCGAATCTTCATTAGTTAACTTGCAGGCATCACAAGCAATTAATGAACCGTTCAATGTATTGCATATGCCACACTTTGATGTGTAATTTTGTAAGTATATTTCTGAGACGTTTTCAATTGCTGTAAAATTATGAATGGATTCAATGATTGAATACTGGTCTATGACCTCTTCTTTAACAAACCGTTTCAGATTAAAAGCAGTAGACGGAATCAGCCTGAAATTAACTAAATCGGAATTGAATAATGCACAAACCAAGTGGCACCATCTTCCAGAGCCATAGATTGGTTTTAAGTAGTCTGGTTTAACTGAAGGGTGTCCCAATATGGATAACTCATAGTTTGATTCGTTGGCTAGACATAAACAACAAGAATATAAGGTTGAATAATGCGGATTTAGATCATTGATACATGGCTCACATAACCATTGTTTTATTGGTCTAGGTATCTGTTCAGGAATCGAAAGCCCTGTACAAGAGAGATGTGCATTGACACCACAATTTGAACAGATGAGCATTTCTGGTACAGAAGTGTCATTTCTGTCATCTTCAAGACAAACACAACATCTCCTATCAAAAGGCAGAAATGGAAGCTCAACCACTGCATTGTTTGGAATTGGATATGCTTGTAACTGTGCACCAAGATCTGTAAGCTGTTTGCTTCTAAATGATTTGATAACGTTGTTCAATATTTCACTCGTCATAACAGGCGTTGACTTCTTATCCAATTTTATCCTTTTAATTGGCAAAGATACTATATAATTGTTGTTTAAAACTGGGTTAATTATACGATTTGATAGCGATGGATCAACATGTTTCTTTTGTCTTTTGTTAGGAACCTGAGTAGAACCTGAGGATATGGCTCCCGGTATAGGTTCCTTTTTGACTGTGGTGGTAAGCTTCTTTTCTGGCTTTGAGTCACCTGTAAGCGAAGACTGACTTCTCTTACGCTTGGCTTTCAGAGGATTGCCCGCGGATTCAACATTGTCTTTAACTGAATCTTTGCTTAGCTCTTTCTTTTCTATTTTGGTTTTGGTCGCACCTTGTACAACCTTTTGAGAAGGTATATCTTTCTTTGCCTTAATTGTTTTAATATTAGTTGGCTTAGACGGTTTGGTTGTAGCCTTGGTTTTGGCCGAATTTATCTTCTTTGTATTAGAAATAGAACTTGCGATAGGTTTAGTTGATGCAGAATTAATCTTTCGCTTTTTGGTAGGATTCTCTTCTTTATTTGAAGATTTCAATTTCAGAACAGAACTATTTGTGACATCAGCTATACCAGAGTTAGTCTTTTTCTGTATCACTTTCTTGGGCTTAGTCGCAGTTCCATTAATAATACTTGAAGAAGATTTCTTATTGTCGTACGATAATCCCCCTCCAAGAGCTTCCGACTCTTCTAATATCATTTGGGAATCTCGAAGTAGTTCAAATTCAACTTTCTTCTTCCATCCCCCAACAGGCTTGTTATTCTTCTTTTCAACTTCAGTTGGGTCTTCCCATACAACTGCATATCTTCTCCATAACCTCGCGCATCTGAAGCATAAACCTATCACTGCATCCTTATCAAGGTCTTCGTGGGTCCCTTTTTCAAATATTGTGTTAGCGTCATAACCTGTAATTCTAAACCATTGGAGAGACTGATGTGTTCGACAATGCTTGCATGCAAAATTAGTGTTATTGTTAACAATCTTTTCAGATTCATATGATGAATCGTCGTTGTGATTTGCTAAGAGATCAATTGTTGGAGGGCTAGTTTTAGACTCAGTCTTAGATGGGTGTTCTTCTTTAACGATGCTCTGTAATTTTTTATGCATTCTTCCTTCGAAATTACCCCAAATTAATCTTCCATTTTCGGATTTCTTCCAAAGATAATAAAATCTCACTATCATAGACAATGGTTTTGTTTTCACTTCTTTATATACTGGATATAACTCACTACCATATTTCTTAACACCAGCTTCAAATCTTTTAATTTCTTCTTTTGAAAGTGTCGGTTCTCTAAGCGATTTCCTGGTTAGCTTAGAAATTGCCTCGTACGCTTTATCAGTATTCCCATTGTTGTCTAAGTAAGATTTTAGAACCGCGTCTACAAAATTTGGCGATGTCGCTAACATATTCAATTTTTCCGCTATTGGAGAGCACTTTTCAACAAAGGAATCTAGATTTTTGAAATTATCCTGGTAATCCTCCTCTAATGGTTTCCACATTAATGAACAAGTCACTCCCTCACCATCATCTACACCACGCTCAATGTATCCTTTTGGTCTTGGTTGTAGCCATTGTGGATAATCCTTAGGCGGGGTATCTTTAAACTCATCTGGAACAGGTAGCTTAACTGTATCCGTTACATCATGTTTCTTTGATTTAGTGAGTGGCTTTTTAACAGTTGATTTTTTTCTTGTAGTGCCATTAACATTTGATTGTTTATCCAAATCGTAGTATACGATTGGATGATCGTAAACCTCAGGAATATTCGTTGCTTGATGTTTTGCTCCCAATCTTGTAGATGCTCTAGGATATGGAGATCTATCTTCGAGATCAACCCCATCTTCTAATCTAGCGTACATTCCTAAATAGCGCATGCACCATTCTTCCTTTAGTCTTCTTTGTTCGAACGTTAAATGTGAATCGTTCTTCAAAAATTCAATTGCCATTAATTCATATTTCGGGAGGATTGAATTAGTGATTGGCTTGATATCATCCTCATCTGTTTCAGCTGACAGGTCGTGAGGGGGTGATTTCGGTGAGTCTAATCCATTAATTTGTCTAGAAAGTTCATTCTCATTCGACAGCTTGTTATCATGAGAAAGCATGAACATTTTTTTGCTTTGGTGCTCACGATCATGTTTCTTTGTACAAGGCGCACAAGACCACGAAAACCCCCTACTTGGTTTCCTTAATAAAGGAGGATCAAGGCAGAACATATGATAATGCTTCTCACAACCAGCACATGTCACAGAGTCCTGACCAGAACACCATTGCCCACATATTTCACAATTACAAGAATCTGACGAGAATCCGTTGACAAAAGACTTAGTCCTATTGCTTTCGACGAATATATATTCAAACCTCTTATTTAATGCCGTAAGAAAGTTTTTACTTTTATTTTCGTCATTATTTATGGTTCTTAATAGGCTCGCAGTCAGTAATATGTCATAGAATCTAATCATGTATCTGTCAAAGAGCTTATCGAAATAAAAGCAGTTTGGTTGTTGTGAATATATTTCTAAACTGTTTAATAATGCAGGTGATGATGACTTACCATTGTTATCGGAAGCGTCATTAGCTAAATTATTGAATTCATATTCAACATCCAGTTTATGTCTAACAGTAACCAAGCCTCTGAAGCTCTGCAACGGGCAAGTATCTGTGTGCATTGATGCGTATAAAAGTCTTGAATCGGATGTAGATTTTGAAATATCCCTGGGTCTATAGAACCATTGAATTTGAAATACATAACCAGACGCCTCTTCATGATGAATTTCATTTCTGATTTGTGCATCAGAATCCAGGCTGCTTGTAGAACTACCAGTAGAATTTCGTTCACTATCATGATGCTGGACATGTCGATTATGCTTAGAGGTGAAACCCATAATACGACCAATATAATATGGTTCACCAGGAGGTTCACTGATCATGTATATGTAATCACCTTTAGTTAATTTAAATGGTTCTTTCAATTTTCGTTTCCTTATTTGTTCGTATGACGTTGGAATCGGAGGCTGATTCGGACAGAATAGTGTTTGATTTTCTATATCAACATATGCATCTTCTAAGTCTAATTTGTAAGAAAAATAGTCAACAGGACTAGGTGGTGGTTGCCAATTATATGATATCGCTTTTGGGTTTGGGTTTACAACGTTTGAGTTCCCGTTCTTGAGACCTGCTTCAGGAGTATTTGACTTTTTCAAAGGTTTCTTTTTGGAATTGCTTAAGTTATTCAAAGTATTAGGCGAATTATCGTCAAATATAGTCTCGTCTATGGCATCATTATAAGACTTATTAATTGTGGCCTTACGTTTCGGTCTTGTCAGAGACATAGCCTATAATCACTAATGAAGAGAAGTCTTCACTCTAAAAATTTGTAGAAAAAGTAAAAAATAGCCTCAAATAATAAAATTGAAGGAGAGGCAATGTTAGATATAAAACCAATGATAGTTATGGCCAAGTTAAACGATTTCTATACTTCAAATTAAAAAAGACAGACTTTTCATCAATTAAATTATTTGAAATGAATTCTAGTTAACATGAAAAATCATAGCGCTCACTTCAATTTCATCAAATAAATTACGTTTCTGAAACAATGTACTCAAATAAATATACAATAAAATAGAAAAATGTGAACTTATATACATATAGATAGTAACCTTGCTTAAGAAAAGTTGATTATAGTACAATATATTATGGCATTGGCGAATTATGCTACTAAAATGGCAATATTTTCACATATGCCCATTATGCAATGCCCTTTCTATTCGGTCAATATCCTCGACACTATCGGCTGTTTCTAACTCATGCAATAATTTGGCCTTGTCTTCATCCGTCAATTTCTTCCCGACATCCCGAAGGTTTCTCGTATCTTTCGATAAAATTTGATCCTTCCTGGAGTCTGTAGTCGATATACCGTCGAGCATTGACAATGCTAGTTCTGATGGATCTTCTATGCTCTCACCGAATAGTTCTTTTGCCTTCATTAAATCTTTTTGTTTAACTTTTGAAAAATCCAATACCTTCAAAGTTGGAATCAACCAAATGATAAAATACCTATAATTAGGAGAATCCGTGATAGGATTTTCTATAAATGTTATACTCGACAAGTTCTTGAACCTAGATAAGACACGAACGTCCAGGAACTTGCTTATATTATTGTGAATGAATGAAATCGATTGTAGATGAGGTAAGTTGTCTGGCAATTTATCATCATTAATACCCGTGATATTATTGTTTCCCACTAATAATACTTTTAAATTCTTGAGCCTAGGAAAGTTTGATAGCTCAATCAACTCATTGTCGGTTAAATCTATTACTTCATATGTATCCTTCGTGATACCTAAATTCTCAAGATAAGGAATTTTCAAGCTCCTAAGCAGAAGTGTCACTTGTTTCTCGGGGTTAATTATTGTTGGTGCATCAGATAGTACTTGTGATGTCAATCTCATATTAATATTGTGTATTTTAGGTGGATGTACTTAAAGCTATTTAACTTAATATGTATTCATCAGTATTGAATTTTTTTAGAAAAAGCGCACAAACCATTTATGGTCCATATCAAAAAATCAACAGTTAAAAAAATATGGAATTTAAGCCAACCTATATAAGCTTAAAAAATTGTGACGGATGTTATACATCCATTGCTCTCTACAACTTCCCAGATGCATCTATTGCATCCATATAATTTAGATTGCCCCCAAGTTTTTGTTTTAGAAGTGTTACCAGAAACAGTAGAATCTCTAGATGGCTGCTTTTCGAGAATTGTATTATTGTTCTCACTAATTTCATCAGGGTTGATGATATCTAGATCATTATCAATGAATTCAGTTTCATTTCTATTCAATAAAACAGGCCGTAAATTAGTGTTCCCTTCAATCTTGTTAAAGAATTCAGGTGGAATGTCATTGAAATACATGGATGAATCGATTGAAATATCATCTTGTAATTCGAACGGATGTGCGGTATCAGAGTATTGACCGGATATTAATTGCCAGTTACATTTGTTCCATTTCATGAAATCTAAACTTTCAATAATGCCACCATTATGGATAATAAGTTTTTTTAAGACACCTGTGGATTTGGCTTTGCTTGAATTGAGGTCATATAGAAAGTCAAGCCCAAATCGGAAATAATTGTGAAACTTATAAATCGAATTATCATGTAAGTCAATTTTGAATGACTTTGATAAATGATTATGGATCAATAATCTGGAATCAAACTTGTTAAAATAATCGTCGGGAGATCCCAATATGTTCAAGATTTCTTGTTGTGTTGTCTCGCCGATTTTAATGACATGTTCCTTGGGTTGAGTTTTATCAGAAGTAGTCTCAAATATCAATTTAATGATTCCTAACTTTAAGTTTACTAATAATTTGGAAATATTGATAGTAGAAGATGAGGTCTTATTTCCTAGTTTAGTTGTTTGCTTATTGTCTAGAATGCTCCTCTGGAGAGTTTCATAAAAATTCTCCCATGATGAACCCAGGAAAATTGAAAGTGATTCACATGCAATATCACTATTTTTGTCCCAATTTAAAAGTTTGGATAAAATAGTATTATCATTTACCTCTGTGCCTAATCCTATCAACTTGTTAACCAACTCAGTCAGGTTTATCTTGAATTTGAATGAAATTCCTGGGTAGGATAAAGTGTAGTAGTCTAATTTTTTTGACAATTTCCCAGGGTATGTAGGGCCAAAAGTTTGATTGTATATCTGTTTTAAATTTGGGAGCGTGATATTCGTTCTCTGTTGCAGTTCTTCATTCTCCAACCGCTTTGGTGCCGTAGGAACGATATCTGAGTTTTCTCGTGCTTCATTTTGGTACGTATCCTGAGAATTTTCAGTTATGTCATTCAAATTAATCCCATTGTAATTCAACTTTAAGCTCCCGAAATCAATTACTTCAATCAAAACAAGCTCTTGCTTGTCAGAATTCTCGAAGACCATCCTAAGCCCTATATCTGGGGCTGTTACTGTAATTGGAGTTTCTAGATAATGCTTTTCGGAATATGATATCTTCATCCTATAGTTAAACCTATCTAACAGATTAATAACCGAATACATCAGGCTACCGAGTTTTATCGAATTTCCAAGTCCTTCCCCCGGAACTATTGATGCGTTTGTAATCATAATGAATTGGAATCCTAAATATATTACGTATAACACGTAGATTTATTATATGCTTCTTAATATGCTAACTGTAATACCTGACCTTTAACTGTGAAAGCTAGAGAAATGGGTAATATTGTATAAATTAAGGTAGTATTCTTGGTTTTGTTGATAGTCACTATTCTTATCAGTTGATAAGCGCACGGGTTAAAAATACGAGTTTTATAATAGTTCGGCTATTACTTCTTCATATTAACTCTTTTTGAAAGTGGATACGTGTCTATACTCTATATTATCAGTTATTCATGATAGCAGTACTTCCAGATTGTAATTATCTGATGTAAAAGCCAAGGCATTCTTCAAAATTTTATGAACATACCATATACCCACACAAATAGTATATGTAAAATAGGTAGGTCTATTTCTACAATTATAATTATTGCCACATACTTCACCACACATTTCAGCGACCATTTGATATAATGGTTAAGAAACTATTGCTGTTCCTACATTAATTTTTGAAATTAAACGTTTATAACTAAATAATTACACGGATTCGAATTAAAGATTATTCTTTGGTAGCATTACTTGTACCACTTCCATCGTCGGGACTAACAAACCCTTGACCATCTGCGGTAGTGCCCATGTGAACTTCTGGATCATTCCTGGCAGCAGCAGCAGCTTGTAACTGGGCTTTCTTTTGATCGGTAGACCTGATTGGTTCTATAACATATGGTAAGTTATCGCTCATACCTAATGAGTTACCTTGGCCCATTTCATCATCGTAGTAAGTAAATTCACCTATTTCAGCAATATCGGTACCCATAATTTCTTCATCGGCATGTAATCTAATTCTCAACTGAGGGATTCTGTCCATTATTAATAATAAGATTGAAGTAAGAGTGAAACTCCAGATACCAACGGAACATGAACCTGCAATTTGGTAACCTAATTGCTTATAATTATGATTCATCCAGCCTCCAGCGATGGCAGCAGAAGGGTCTGCAGCAACAGAACCATCAGCGGCAGCAACGTAGTCAGCAGCAAAAAATCCGGTTAAAATTGATCCACAGATACCACCAACACCATGCAAAGCAAACACATCCATACCATCGTCAATCTGTAAGATAGATTTCAAATCAACAGCAAAATTACAAACAATAGCTGGAACGACACCAAAGACTATCGAGGTGTAAACTGGAACAAATCCGGCAGCTGGGGTGATACCGACCAAACCAGCAATAGCACCGGTACATAAACCTACTGTAGACCATTTCCCACCGGTTCTAAACCAGTCGACAAACATCCAGGTTAAACCACCACATGCAGCAGCAATATTAGTGTTGACACAAGCATACCAAGAACGGATAGATGCGTTCCCTGTAGAACCACCGTTGAACCCAAACCACCCGAACCATAAAAATACAGTTCCTAACACAACAGATGTAACAGAATGTGGTTTATATTTAGGAACTTTACCAGTAGTTAATGGATCGTGTCTCTTACCCAATATCAATGAATAAGCCAATGCAGCAAAACCAGAATTTTCGTGGACTGGCCCACCACCAGCAAAGTCTAATGCACCCAAGTTGAATAACCATCCATTACCACCCCAAGTCCAGTATGCGATCGGGCAATAAACAACAGTCAACCAGCAGAATAAGAAGACCATCATAGGTCCTAATCTTGCTCTTTCACACCCAGCACCAACCATTAAAATGGCAGTCACAGCGGCAAACATACCCTGGTAAAGGCAAAATAAAATGTCTGGAACTGTTGAAACTACGCTTGGGGCCCCGAATACATTCTTCAACGAGAAATAGTTCAAGTTACCCAAGATAACAGAGTCACTTTGTGTGAAAACTAACGAGTAGCCCCAGAAAAACCACTGAAAGGCGGTCAAGCACGTTGCCATGAGCGAGGCCCATAATAACGACAATGCGTGCTTCTTTCTGGATAAGCCAGAATAAAGCAAACCCACTCCTGGAACCATAATCCACACCAATGCAGCCGACACTCCTATCCAAACCATGTCTGCTTTGTCAAATTGTTCGTTTAAATCCACCTTCATTATATCTCCTCCAGGACCTGTCCCGGTAAAACCATCTTTTGCCATTTTCTATTTTGCAGTAATTAGTATTTTAGGTCAATGAAAAATTGCTTTGCAATTATAAAAGTCCCACCATCCTTTGTTTATCCTGTCTATCCTTCCCAATATAT